TTACATTCATATACCACAGCTTGTTCAGCCATTCCCCAATTGATGGGCATCCCCTCAATTTCCAATTCTTTGCCACCACAAAAAGAGCTCCTATAAATATTTTTGTACATGTGGGTCCTTTTCCCATTTTTGTGATCTCTTTGGGATACAGCCCTGAAGTGATGCCCTCTTATCTTAAAGGAAAAAAATAAGGAAAGTGAATCTTTTGTGTGTTGTGTGTTGTGAGTCCGGTAATCTATCTCATACTTTTTGTTGCTGGCTAATTCTAAGTTTCCCCTGAGTTCTAATGGTACAGATTGTTTTCTGACAAATATTTACTGGGAGAAAAGTCATGTGGCTCCAATGGAAGGGTTACTGCCACAGATAGCGAGAGAGAGAGAGAGAGAGAGAGAGAGAGAGAGAGAGAGAGAGAGAGAGAGAGAGAGAGAGAGACACACACACACACATGATTATACTTAATTGAATTGGATAGATAAATACTGATAGGAATCTTTTCATTTTTATTTAATTGGGCTTTATTTTCCTTGATGCCTGTTTCCTGGTCCTAGTACAGTGTAACCTCTTTTCAGTGTGTCAGAGTAAAAAGTAGGACAAATTTCTAATAATAAAAGTTTGAAAGCCGGAAAGGAAATGACTGGAAATTCTGTTTCACTTTTCATTTATGAAGGGGCATGAAAAGCCTTAGGCTCACTGCTAACTACTTGTTAACATTGGAGTTTTGAGGACATAATATAGGATTTAATTCCCCTGAATTAGTGGAATTGCTTTGGAGGAGACACTTTTTTCATTTAGGAGTGAATTATGGTTTATGAGGGGAGGGTGGAAAATTGTTGAGTGTTTTCTGAGCAAATGTTAGGTATAGGAAGAAAAGGCCCAGATTAGATTTAGAATATATAATGCCTTCTTTATTGACCTTGCCCACTATAATAGGTGTTAGAATATAGTAACTCTTGGTAGCTGTTAGCCTTCTTTTGGTATAATTATGGAAGAACAGACATTGGCTCTAGAAAATTACCCCCAAATATTGAGACTTTACAACTTAGATGGTTTTGTAAATAACTTTCAGAGGGCCTTGTCTCTGAAATGAAGCAGATTTAGGACATCACCATTCTGTCATTTGGAAAAATTAAGAAGCTTTTTTCTTGGGGGGAGGGGGAAGAGGATATTAACCATCATTTTCCAGTTCCAGATGAGCACATATTTCTCTTAGGAGGAAAAGAAAGGCACTTGGTCTAAGATCCTCTGAAGTCTTGGTCTTGTTTAAAACCTGATTCTGTTATGAAATCTAGGTGGTGGAAATTTTTAGTTATTAAGAATCCATATTTTAAAAAATAATACATATTTTTGATTTTCTTTTCTCTGGTAATAATTTTATATCCTACATTTTGGTGTTATATTGGTAGGTAATTATTTCTACAGACTAACATCTTTGTTTTCCCTTCTTTGAATAGACTAGACCAGTGGTTTTTTACACTCTTAAAAATTATTGACTCTTCCCCAAAAACTTTTGTTGTTATATGGGTTATTTCTATTGATTTTTACCGTACTAGAAAGTAAGTAAAACATCTTAATATTATTATGAAAATAATTTTGACCTCATGGAATCCCTGAAAGGGTTTGAGGGATCTTCAGGGATCCATCCTTTGAGAATCACTGGGCTAGACATCATAGCCATTTACTGTGTTACCTAAACTGCATATAATTAATTTATTCAACAAAAGCCCACCGTCTGCTAATGTTTGTAGCACCCACTATATTTGGAATTGTGGCTAGATACAGTTTCCTTGTCTGTAAAATGAAGAGTTTGGACTAAGTGATTTTTGAGGCTCATTCCTATTTTAAGATTCTATGATTACATGAATTTGAGCATGAATTGAAAGCTGCCTGCTCTCAGAAGGAATGACATACACATAAAGGGCTAACAATAAAAGGCAGAATGTGATTGTTGTTAGGTAAGCTATAGAGGCCATAAGTGGTTTATGAATTGGCAAACTATTCTTACTGCTATTCTTTTATTTTGTGTTCTCACTTTCATTTTTTTTTGGTCAGGTTCACTAGACTGCTCACTCAAGGAAGTGCCATAGGTAATAAGAGTTCTTGAGTTCATTAAGGCATTTTATAAAGTCTGCCCCATATTGCTTTAATAATAAAAATATTTTGCATTTACATGGCATTGTATAGCAACAGACCTGTAAGGTAGTCAGGGCAGGTATCTTCTCTGTTTATAGGTGAAGAAACCAAGGTTAAGAAGGAATACATCATTAAGCCAAAATTACTTAAATAGTTAGGTGATGGAGCTGGGATTTAGAACACAAGTCCTTTGTCCTCCGACTCTACTCCTCTTAGAGCAATATTTACCAGTTACTGGGTAATTTTCACTGGTCAAAAATCAAGTTCACAGGTTCAAAATAGGGTAGGTGGTGTCAGATGGAAGAAAACTTGGGGTTTTAGAAACTTGAGGTTTCAACTTCAAGTTGAATGTCCACCAGCAACATGATATGGCAGCCAAATAAGTGAACAAAATTTTAAGCATTAAGAGAGGCATCAGTATACATGACTGCTGCCCTGCCGAGACCATATCTAGTGTTGTGTTCAGTTCTAGGGTACCACTTTTTAAGTTGGAGAGTGTCCAGAAGAAGGGAGCCAGAATGGTAATGAGGCTGAGAGTCATTCTGTCTAATGATCGGTTGAAGGAAATGGGAATGTTTAGTCTAGACAAGAAAGAGATGACTTAGGAGAGGATATGACAGCTAACATCCCTCATAAAAAAGGGATAGCATTCCTTCTTTACCTCCACCTTTTTGAACGCCCAGTTTCCTTCACAACTCGACTTACCCACCACATCTTACTACTTAAGGCCATTCCTGGTCTCTGTCTTTCTCTTCTCCCACCTGCTAGGTTCTTTCTTTACAAATTAGCTTATATTTATTTTGCATATACTTGTGTGTCTGGCTCATTGGCTGACTATTTCCTAATGTTCTCTTCAGTGTAATATCCTTCAGAGAAAGAACTGTTTCACTTTTTTTTTCTTTGTTCCCTTAACCCCTCGCACAATATCTGGCACATAAGAGATACTTAATAATTGCTTATTGTTTAAATGATTAGGCTTGTTCTCTTTTGCCCCAGAGGGCAGAATTAGAACTTATAGGTATAGGTTGTGAAGAAGAAAATTTAGTGTTTCGTAGAAGAGATTTTCTAACAATTAGACCTAGTCAGTTGTGTCATGTATTGCTTTAGGAGATAAATAGAGGTTCCTCTCTCATTGGTGGTCTTCAAGCAAAGGGTGGATAATGTTTTGTTGGGTATAATATAGAGAGGATTCTTATTTGGGTCTGGGTTAGACTATTTAGCTTCTAAGTCCTTTTGAACTCTGAAATTCTGTTTATTATTTACTAGGGGAATTTGTTACAAAGGAATTTTTTAGTGAATCTTTTCATAATGCATGTAATCATCCCTCCATTTTTCTTTTATTTCCTAAGTTTAGTTTTTTTTAAAATTTTTGGACTGTGCTTGTGATACTCATTGCTATAGAGTATGCCAGATGAGGAAGTTCCCTCAACCAGAACAGATCACTACCTACTCTGTTAATTTGTTTGTACTGATGGGGTTAATAAGATTTAAATGACTTCACCTTAGGAGTTGAACATGATCTCAGGTCTTCCTGAATCCAAGGCTGCCCCCTTTTTTATGGATATATATTAATATCTTATACATATATTATACACATACACACACATTAGAGATTTCAGAAAGTGTGTGTGGGGTACATCTGTAGTATGAGTAACACCCTTACTGTAAGGGAGAAGGGCAGGTGTTAGATGCTAGGCTTAATCAAAATTATGGTGGGAAGAATTGAATAGACTGGTATTTCTGAAGTAGGAATTAAGAGGCATTAACTATTAATAACTGAGTAAGCTAGCTAGTTTATAAGGAAAATTCAACTAACCAATTATGGAACTTTTCCTCTCTTTCCCACATTCCTTCACTTTTAATGCTTAAATGATTGTTTCCTGATCTGTGTTCTGAATTGGAATTACCATATCCCAAACAGCTATAAATTACAACTGCTATACTGTGAGTGTTTGTGAAATATTTTAATGTTTAAAAAAAGTCCCTGATACCCAAAGGTTGGTAACCAGTGCTGTACATACAGTGGTGTCAAACTCAAATAGAAACAGCACCATTAAACTGTGCATAAGGATCCCTGTGGGGCGCATATTGAATTCGTTTTAAAATGTAACATTTGTTTTATTGTATTTTTATTTATTTTGTTAAATATTTCCCAATTACATTTTAATCTGGTTTGTTCTACACTCAAGTGTTTGACCCCCTTCGGCCTTATTCCCATGAAGTGTTTCTCCTAATGGCATAATAATTCCCAAGCAAAAGTAGTGCTATTTTAAGTTTTGCATATTGTGATAGGCTTGGGCTGGTAATCCACTAGAGGGATAAGTGACAGAGACTGAATTTCTTCTTACTTTGAGTCTGGGCAGCTTGTACACCAACATTGCAAAGACTGCAATTAGAAGGCAGGTCCCACATGGCAGACTTAAGTTAATGGGGTCAGGTGGCAAAATGGTGTCAAATATTTCTGTGGGAGGTGCCCCTGTTTCCAGTTCTTTGGTTATTTGAAAGAATGAACTTAAACTAGTGAGCTGCTATACTTGCAATGAGTCAGACTGGTTAAGATTCAAGCTTGAAATTGTGTGCTAAAGGGGGAAAGACTGCTTTCATGCCAACTGCATTTATATGCTATAAAGTTCTGAAAATCATATGTTCACTATGGAACTCATTATTTCTCTTCTTTGGGTATCAATGTATATCCTGATAAAAATAATAATTATGCTGTTCAGATCTGGTTGCCAAATGTTAATGTTTCTCACTCCACACATAATTATAACTCCGTACAATATAGTTTACTCTGTCCCTGATTTTGATGTTTCATAACATTTATGCCTGCTTAATCTCTACTGATTTTTCCTCTTTTTCTTCTTTTTCAGAATGGACTGCTGAATTATGAAGTATTCTAGAGCCAATAGCATAGCATTGCTGCGCTACTCAATACTTTATCTCCTGGTAGTTATTTAAATTGGACTTTTAATATCCTCCCAGCTGCTCTTGAGACACACATGGTGCATTGTTGCCATTCCCCGGATTGCATCTTTGAAACCAAGGCCTTCAGTAACCTTTGTCAAACAAAGAGGCAACCTCCAGGCAGCCTTCCTAGTGGGGGATTCAGCCTGACTGCCCTCTAGCTTTCTCTGGCTCAGGCTGTATTTGAATTCCACCATGGAATACCGAATGGAGTCTTGCTTGGCACAGGTGTTGCAGAAAGATGTGGGGAAACGACTACAAGTGGGCCAAGAACTAATAGACTATTTCTCAGACAAGCAGAAGTCTGCCGATCTTGAACATGATCAGACCATGTTAGATAAGCTTGTGGATGGACTTGCCACTTCTTGGGTGAACTCTAGTAATTATAAGGTAAGCTTTGCTTAAGAAGACTCTTCTATAGGTGGTTGGGTTAAGTTATTCCCTTTCTGCAGTCTTTCCATTAAAAATATTATATGTAAGAAACAGTGTGGTTTTTTTGATACCAGTAAAGAATTATACACAGTGATTTGTGGTTTTGAGATGTTTGGTACCAGAAGAAATGGTAATTCCCTTTCTTTGGATTTGTTAAGTAATATAAAATCCTTGTCCAGCGTATCTTTTTAAGGAAGCCAAATTAATAGAAAAGAGAAGGTTATATATTGGAAAGTTTATAAACATTTGCAACCCTAAAGTTGTGTCTTGGGACTGATGAATGTGGGGTCATGGGAGAATATGTGAATGGTCCTTCATGAATGGCAAATAGTCTCTGTTGATAGCCTCTGGGGGATGGGATTGGTAATTGGATATTGAGCTTTTCACCTTAAGGTTTCTGGTTAAAAACCAGCCCAGGTCCCTGGCCAGGAATGGCATTGATTGCCAAGAACTCTTTTGTGACCTATGTGTAATGGACTGGCTGACACATTGCAGGTTCTGGAAAGACAGATGTCACATGGTATCCTTGGGGACAATGATAGTAGGGCAGGTTCCATAATTGAACTGTCTGGGAAAGTGAACCACTTCTCCATTCCAAATACTGAGCTCTTAATAAGAAAAAAAAATGAGACTAGTGGAAGTCAAAGCTCTTGTACTTTCTTTTGTAAATCTGTCTTATTGGTTCTTGATCATTCATTTGCTTTCTTCAGAATCAATTCTCTGTTCTTTTTTTCCCCTCCAAATTCATTGTGCTTCTAAATGTCATCTGGAAATTGTATGTTTGGATATTATAAATGAACTGTCATGTCCACAAATTGATTTGGGCACATTGTAGAAAGCAGGGGCAAGCATATCCTGACTTTTGACTCTTTGCACTGAATTTGACATATGATTCCTAATTTTATCTCCCTTGGCTTTCAAAATCCAAGTCAGATTTGGATCTTTCAAAGCCTACCTTAGAGGCAGTTAGATGATGCAGTGATAGAGTACAGTACTCCTGGCCTGATTTCAAATCCAGACTCAGACATTCACTGAGACCTTAGGCAAATCACTTAACTTCTATTTGCCTTAGTTTCCTCAACTGTAAAATACAGATAATAATGGCATCTGCTTTCCAGGATGTTTGTAAAGATCACATGAAATAATGTTTATAAAGTACTTAGCATAATACCTGCACATAGAAGGTGCTACCTAGATATTGTTGTTTTTGTTATTGTTATTATTATCCCTTTTCTGTGAAAATTCCTTAGATGTGATACTCTGTCTTGTGACATTGTTTTGTATGTGTTGGTCCTTCACATTAAGATTTTGAGGGGAGGGATCAAATCATTCTGCTTCTCATCTTCTACAGTGGTTGACACATAGTAGGTACTCAACAAATACTTCCTGGCTAGTTTATTATGGCATCAAAGCTGATTTTATTTAGATAAGAGTTTAATTTTGTAAATTTAAAGTAAAAAGAAATGGGTTTTTCTGAAGTTGAAAAGAATTCTAACATAAATATTTACTCATTCGACATGTTTTGTCAACAGTGGTTTGAAGAGACTGGATTTATTATTTTTTTCAAATAGCTTTTGAAAATGCAAAATTTCCACAACTCTGCTTCTTCTTTTGTTTTTTTCTGTTAAAGCCTAAAAGTTAATAGGAGGAAGAGAAAGGGGAAAATAATTCTCTTCTTTAAAAAATAGCAATTGTGGCTCTGTTTCATGTTCTTAAAACAGAATGAGATAAATACCAATTTTTCATTGACAACAAATATTGTTGGCAAATTCCTGTTTGTTATTAATTGCATCTTGTATAGTTGTCTATGAGGAGACTCCCTCCTACTGAGTGCACACAGCAGGAAGTGTTTTTTTTGTAAATAGTATTTTATTTTTTCCAGTTACATGTAAAGATAGTTTTCAACATTCATTTTTTAAAATAAGATTTAAGTTTCAAGTTTTTTCTCCTCCTATTCCCCCCTCCCTAGGATGGCAAGCAGTCTGATATAGGTTATCCATGTGCAATCATGTATTTCCACATAAGTCATGTTGTGAAAGAAGAAACAAAACAAGAGGGAAAAGCCACACACAAAAAAAAAACCACAAAAAGTGAAAATAGCATGCTTCGATCTACATTGAGACTCCATAGTTCTTTCTCTGGATTGGATAGCATTTTTCATCATGAGTCTTTTGGAATTGCCTTGGATCATTGTGTTATAGCAGGAAATTAGTAAAAAAAAATGAATGAGGCTTTGCACAGTCAGCCATAGGGGAGCAGTGGCATTGATAATCCAAAAGGCATTTTTTGGGGGTTGTGGGGGATAGATTGCATTATATAGTATTCTTTCCCTTGTATTCTCTTCTTGACTATTCTGCTTAGGCCAGTGATATTAAAACTACTTTGCTGTCTGCTTAGCTAGGAAAGTTGTGACTTGTCCAGGTTCACAGAGGTAGTGAGTGACTGAGGCAGAATTTGAACCTCTGACTTTTGTTTCCTCATCTGTAAAATGAGAAGGTTAATCTAGATAGCCTCAGAATTTACATCCAGCTCTGAATCCATTGGATCATGGTGCCTCCGTAGGAAATATATTTTGCCATTATTATTATGGAGTCAGATTTTTTTCTGTCATTGCATTGACCAGAGTCCTTACATTTCCTTTGCTCTGCTGTGGTTGTTACGTAAATTGTTCTCTGGATTCTGTTACTGTCATTCTGCATTAAGAAACTTAGGAAGACAAGTTTCTCTGAATTTTTCATTTTCAGTAGGTCTTATGACACAATTACATTATTATTTTTAATATTGCATTACATTCACATACTACAAATTGTTCAGCTCTTCCTAGTTGATGGGCGCCTACTTTGTGTCTGGTCTTTTATTACCACAGAAAGTAAAATATTTTTGTATACATAGGAACTTTTCCTTCATCTTTGAACTCTTTAGCCTATAAGTTCACTTCTAGTATTGTGAAGTCAATGCAAATATGTGATTTAGTGACTTTTTTTTTAGTATAATGAATTTCGTTTTCAAGAGGGGGAAACCAAGTCTAAAGTAGGTGAAAAACAATCCATCAGACATTTGGTGGGCAGCTATATGCTTGATGTTGTGCTAGGCATTGTGAGGTTCTAAAATAGTACAGGCGTTTCTTAGACTTAGTCTTGTGTCCAGGGTGCAGGGTGAAAGAGGGATGTGAGAGAAAAGCACTGAAAGAGATATCATGCTGATATCTCGTCACCCCTATTGCATTTCTCTTCACCTTGGTTGGAGAAGGGTCAAGCTTGCTTGGAAAAGACAGCGGGTGAAATAGGAGACTAGAATGCCTGGATCATGGAGAGAGGCTAAAACTTCCAGGCCTCTAGACTCCTTCAGGGTTGTAACTAAGATCCATGGAAGAAAAAGAATGTTCCCTCCCTCCCTCTCTCTTTTTCACTGAACCTCAACTGTCATCAAGTTGGGGCAACATGGCTCACCGTGTGCAAATAATCACAATCAAGACTGTTAATCAGTCAGATTTTCATATGTAAGAGTTTAGCTATGCCTCTAGGAGCTAGTGAGGAGGAGGAGACAAAACTTACATGCTTTGAGCAGCAATTAACAGCGTGGCCAGTTAAAAAGGACTTTGTGAAAGAGATAGAATTGAGCTGGCCGTGAAGGCAACTGGGTGGGCAGTTTAGGCAACACAGTGGATAGAGTGTGGGACTTGGACACAGGAAGACCTGAGTGTGAGTCATACCTCAGACAATTAATAGCTGTGTGACCCTGGCAGGTTACTTAATTCCCTTTGGGTTTCCTCATCTGCAAAATGGGAATAATATTTACCTTCCAGGGTTGTTGTGAAGATAAAACGAGATTATTTTTGTGAAGTGTTTTGTAAACCTAAAAATGCTATATAAATACTATGATGGTGATGATGAAGAAGAGACTGACTTGCTGGGCCTCATAGGGAAAAGGTATTGACAGATCCTAGGGGAGCTTTCTTTCCTTCAGGGAAGTACTGGCAGACTGTGTTAGTTAGCAAGAGATTCTTTCAGAGTAGACTTCCTACTGTAACCACTGGGCCACACATTTATGGAGGGAGAATCGGGAGGATGTTAAAATGTTTTCCTGTAAGATGCTGAAAAGAAAAAACCTTTCCTGTTTTATCTTCTAAAACTTGATTTTCATTGGTCTTTCCTCCTTTGTGACTTTGAGAGGAGAGCTGGAAAAGATGATGGAATTCAGAAGGCACTCAGCCCTTTTTTCTGGGTACTTAAAGTAGTTTCTAGTGCTTTTGTAAAGTGAGTTATTAAGGGGGATAAGGCCTTTCAGAAGTAGTCTGTGCATCCCAACTTTGGAGTTGGTAATTTATTGAAGTTTCCTATGTGGAGGAGTTGTCCTAATATTTCCAGTAAGACGAGCTCTGATACAATGTGTAAATACCCACAAATCATATCAAAGCAGAGATTTCTGGCTTATGGAGTAGGTAACAGAAAGCAACAATATCTTCATAAAGCTTTTTTCACTTTGGCAGGCATGCGAATAACCACAGTGAGATGGTAAAGTTCACAGCTATTACATTGAAATAAGGGTGGGGGGGAGTTGATTGTAATGACCAGCATATGTTGCCAAAGGCCTAATGATAGAGGTAGAGCTTAGTTGAATGGTTATTGGTCAAAATTTCATTCATTTCTTGAACTTATTTTATTAAAGTGATTTTTTATGAAGGATAGAATCTTAGTTTTTCAGATGATAGAGGCTGTCCTATCACGTACAGGAGGAGTTTCTAACCTTTTTGTGAAGGGAAGCTGCTATTCATTTCCAGAGTCCTTTAGGTGGCATAGGAGGATTGGTGTGTCTTGTGAGGAAGAGTATGAGAGAAACCCTGAGAGGAACAAAGTCAGTGTTGACTGAAGCCTTCAGAGTAGAGTGAGAGTGTGGAGGGGCGAGGAGGGATGTCACAGCAACCTACAGAATTACAACTTTTACTAGGTGATGAAAGT